TGGAGAACAAGATAAGGACATTGCATTCTTTCAATCTCTCTAACGCTGGTGTGTATTTTTGACATGAAGTGTGTTTATAGCTGCACTCTGCATAACAGTTTAATCTTTGTACTTCATTGCTTTTAATGATGAACATACTATAGAATGTCGTGAATCAAATGACCTCTAAGACAGAGATGGGCCAGCTATAGGGAGCAGAAATTGCTGCGGCACCAACTTCCAGGATTCCTCACTGTAGGCCATGCTGATTGAGGCTGCTGGAAATTTATTATTTTGTAAAAATTGGATTTCACCTTCAACCTCTCCAGGACTACAGGTTGTCTGCTCCTGTACTCAGATATGTTTGGCAGAACATATTCAAAATTCCCCCCACTTTTGGATATCTTAAAGTATCCAGTTGTTTAGGATCATATATATTCTGCTGTAGGCAATTTGCACAGGAATTAACATAACTGAAATTCAATATGGGGTTGAAAACTTGCTAATTACACATCAGAAAGGATATACCTTGTCGACATTGCTATGAATTCCTGCCTGATTCAATTATTTTGCAATACTCTGAATTTCGATGGCCTCATCCAGTAGGCCACATTTTACATATTTGTTTACAATTTTGATAGGTTGGTAGCACTATGTAATCTTTATAGTTTCCATTAAATTTCCCATTAAATACTTTAATCCTAGGACATACTGTATACCTACTGTTATGCTATGTGGTTTTGGACTCCAGAGCAATCTGTTTACAATAATAAAAGTACTATATTCTCTTCTTTCATGGATCTCAGTTAGCTGTATGCTGGACCTTTATATCAAGGAAGGAAACGCTGTATGAGTGTGACAAGGTTTCTCCATCACTGTGAGTAGTGATTGCATCTGTGATCAGTTTCTTCCATGTCTTCTGCTTTGCTTTTCATTCTACAGATAGCATTTTTCTACCTTTCACTAGATAAGTCTGTCTGTTCTGGAAGCTTATCAGCCTTTTGAATCTTAGCTGTTGGAGGAGATGGGAAGCCACTATTTCTTGAAGGAATGTTTAATAATATGTAATAAAATGCATTATTTAAAAATGAAGAAAAATGAGATAAATGAAACCCCTTTTTGGGGGTGTTGGAGGGTCAGTACAGATAGGAACAAAGCCAGGTACACACACTCATAGCTAACAAGTGAATATAGTGCTGTTTATTACTATACAAGCTTAGTGCAAAATGTATTTACAATAATTCTCGTGTTTATGCATATCTGTCTATATCTATATATAAAATGACCAAGCACGTATATAAGTAAGTACACTAATGAAATCTAGTTATATTAACAGAATTTTTAACTAAACTGTTCTCTGCTCCTTTACCTTGTACAGGTAGTCCTCGGATAACGACCATTGGTTTAACAATGGTTCAAAATTACGATGGTCTCAGAAAGGGTGCTTTACAGCCCATAAAGCACTTATGGCCATCATAAAATGTCGCACCGCTCCCCTCATCATGTGGCCTCATTTCGGGCACTTGGCAACTGCCTCGCATTTATGACCAGTTGCCAAGCGCCTCACGATCATGTGACCGCCATTTGCAATCTTCTCTGCCAGCTTCCCCATTGGAAGCTGGCAGGGAAGGTTGCAAGTGGAGGGGCTGCAGCAGTGGGCTGTACTTTCACACTGCTAAAGGGGGAGTGGAAAACTCTCAGCGGTGTGAAGGCACGGAGCTTAAATCTTCAGGACTTGAGGTCCCTGCCTTCACACCACTGCATGGTTTCCCCTCCCCCTTCAGCGGTGTGAAGGCATGGAGCTCAAATCTTCAGGATTTTAGGTCCCTGCCTTCACATCACTACGAGATTTCAGTGGTGTTGAAGGCATGGTCCTCAAATCTTCAGGTGCTCTGTTCACCACTGAGAGAGGGGAGGGGAAAGAGGACAGAGCAAAAGAGCTCTTTTGCTCTGTCTGTCTAATGACCCAGGAGATTGCTTAGCAACCACAACTGGGAGTGCTTGGATTGTAGTCGTTGAGTGAAGCAGTCATGTGGGCATCTCGCTTAATGACTGCTTCATTCAATGACCAACATTCTGATCCCAACTGTGTTCGTTAGGTGAGGACTACCTGTATCGCAAAATACTTAGCTGCTGATTTCTTCCTCCTCTCACAAATACTTACAACTTTGCCTACCTGTAGGTGTATCAAAGTTTGCTATTCTCTCTCCTTTTGCACTCACTTTGGCCCAGTTCTCCAGGACCTAAACCACCTGGTATTTCACCACTGTCTACAGTCCAGGGCTGCGTTCTCCTTTCTGGGGACTCTTTGCAGATTCCTTCTCTGGCTCCTTCCCGGGCTCTTCTCCCTGGGCGTGGATCAGCTGATTCCTGCCTTCTCTGCTCCATGTTGCGACTGGTCACCTCCCATTCTAGCAGCATCCCCTGCCAAGCCTGGAAGAACTACCCCTTTTTCCTACCTACCTGCTCTGGCTTCTTTTATACTTCTTTCAAAACCTGTCTGTCACTTTGTAGGTGATTCCAAGTAGTTTAAACTTTTTTTATTTTCTCTGTCACTGCCAATGAGCCTCAACTGTGCATTTGACAGTCAGATCACCAAAGAGAAAAAAATGTTGACGTCTAACATTTTTCTGTTTCAGGACAATTCATCCTTCCACAGGGGGAAGGAACACTGTAGCCTTTTTTTTTTTTTTAGTGTTGTTTGTCTGCTGCTTGTATAGTCCGAATCTCCCATGAACATAATTACTTTGCTGTTCTGCTTGATATAACTGCTATATGTTCAATACTGAGCAAGTTTCCCCCCAAGGGTGTAACATTAATAATCTATATTCCTGAGCCCTGGCCTCTCATAATATCATTAACAAATTGCCTATAGTTTTGGAGCTTAGATACCTTAGAGATGATTTGAAAGGGGTACCTATCCTTTTCTTTATAAAGCTTTAAGTTTGCCTGTGAATGGTGCTTACATGACTCTTGCTTGGCAGGTACGAAGCTTAAATGGCTAGATGGTCCATAACTAAAAAATTGGAGTTAATTTTCCTAATATCTGAACTATCCCACCATCATCTTTGTAATGTTCAAAAATGTTTGTACTTAGCAGAGTAGCAATGAGAATACTTAGCAATCCAAGGTAGCATGGCCAATGGTGAAACACTTGGGGAATTGTAGTTAGTACTTTGGAATACACCTCTTCTGTATCCTTTTAATAGAGGATATTCTGGGCTAAAATGATGTTTATCCTGGACATGCTATTAGGCTGCAATTTGCATCATCCTCCATCACGATGGATTTCAGCTTCTGGAAGGTGTATCTTTCCCAGGCATAGGCATGTTGATTTTCCCTTCACACCTGTAGTTTTGTTTATGTATATAAATACATAAATACAAACCTTTGTATTTATATAAATACAAACCTTTGGCTCTACTATCAGTTTTTGGAATGCTGATCACCAGGCATCCAGTTCTTGGTAACCTTCAACTTCCATCAATCTTGGCTTAAATAATAGCAAGGAATAGTGTGACAAACTTTGCAAGCCCTTTAAAATTATTCTGAATCATGCATTACTATGATCTATAGCATGATCTGAGCTTCAGCTAAGTCACCCTAGCTTGTAAGCCATCAGGGAGGACCTGTGTAACCTGCTTTGTATAGCATCTGACTTACTGACAATATGTAACAGCACTTGGCCAGTTAGCTATGCCAATAAAGTTAGCAGCATAAAACTGGATAACCAGGTTTGGATTGTGTATTACTTATGCAGCCTCAAAAGAAAGAGATCCAATATCCAGTTAAGGCACCTGGTGCTTAGAATGGTAGAAATGTTTCTGACCCACATAAAAAATCATAATTAGGATTTTGGCTATGCAAAAATCAAGCCATTCAAAATCAAAATGATAAGTATATTGAGCAGAAGCATGGCAACGAGTCAGATATGCTGGCGCAGGCTTAAATGGATCCCCTTCCTCACCCTGAGACTCTCTAGGCAAGGTATAACTTTGGATGCAGTGCAGTTCCTTGTGTTTGGGCTAGTCCACGAGAGCCATTTTGTGCTGTACTTAGCCTTTGAAACAGCATCCCCTGGATATTCATATCCCCCCTCCCTTGCCTGCCCTTAAGCATTCTTTGAAAGCTTGGCTCTTCCCCCAAGCCTTGGAGATTGGGCAGGCCCCTTTAGGAGGGAGATGTGGAAGGATGGTTCTGTTCTCTCAGATGGGAGTCATTTTATGTATGGCTGTTGTTTTTATGTAATGTTCTCTTAATTTTGTGGAGCTAATGTCTACTGAAAAATTGCTCCCAGCATATTATGGACTGTCATTTATCCAGTTTTCCCTATATATTGCGCTGTTTTGGTCTAATGCTAAAGCATTTCATCATCATCAACATGCTGTTCTTAGAAAAAGAAAATATATACATTTATCTATCTATTCAGGAAACACCATATAGTCATTCATGCATTCATATAATACACCAGCATCCCTACTATAACTGCATTTTGCAGAAGTTACTTCCTTTAGAACAGGTGCCATAGGATTTTCCCTAAGCATTATGTGCTCATTTATAAATGCATAATAATATTGAAAACTGAGTCCATATAGCTGTTTTTCATTATCCCCACCAACATATATTGAATTCTTATTTTCACCCTTTCTAGATAATTTGATATATGCTTCTGTGGATAATAATAATTGTATTTTCCATGTATGATATTAATAAAATAAGTTTAAAATTGCTGTACTGTATCACAAAATGAAACAGGAACACTAGAATATAATGGATTTTTTTTATAAACATTCTTCATTCTCAATGGATCTTATGGCAATTTGCATATAGTTATAAAAATATAATAAAAATACATGGTAAGAGAAATAAAAACTAACCAAACAAATCAAAAATATGTAAAGTTTAAAATGTCTGGTTGAACATTTAAAATTTGGCACCAAGGAAGAAATTCATACTAACTATGGGCAGCACAATCCAAAAGTTGGGGTGTAACCATCATAAACAGTATTATTTAGCATAAAAAGCACAGTCATATTCATAGTAGACAAAACAAGATGCCTATTTTAAGAGCTAGGACCAAGAGCCAGGAAATGCAGAGGGTAAGAAAAAGATTTCTCAGATGCAACAACGGTTGTGGTTCATGGTGAATTTTTGCAACGTTTGCTAGTCATAGCTGGATTGATGCAGAATAGATTTTCCATTTTGAATCTTAATTTGGATTCTCTTAAGTGCTTTGAGTCATGAGGAACTGGTGTATAGTCCAAGAAATGTAGTCTTAGATATTGGCACTTAGAATTACAAGAAGATAGCTTCTCCTTGTTTAAAGGAATGACCCTTTTCCTCCCGCAGGATATCTTACTGCAGCCGTTCTTGTCTCGTGGGACCCAAGAAATATGAGCAGATGAAACAGGCTGCAGCAGCACGAGTCACACAAAGAAGTAGGTGAGAAGTGCCAGAAGATGGCACTCTCGTGCCCAATAAAAAAAGTTTTTCAGAGCTGCTGAGGTCAGGCTATTCTATTTCACCAGTATACAGTTCCATCTTGCGTGTTTTGGCTAGCTCTCTTCTCAATAGGTGTGCACATCTTGAAGTAGCAGAAGACTCACATGGCAGCATCTAAAAAAAGGAGAGAAGAGGAAAAACTAGGATCAACTTGCTGCAACGTTAATGTTAAATGTCTCATTAAAATGAAAGCTTTCAAAATATTTGGAATAGGAAAACTTTATAGTAGCTGAGGTGCCTTCCATCACATCCTTGGGGGGGGGGGGCAAGATGATCAACCAAATATGAATTCTGTCTGCATTAAAATCTGGAGTGTGATGAGCCCCCTCCCCCATAAATATGTGATAGAAATGTTATGTGCTGCACCTGAGATGTTTATTTAAATAGCAAGGCAGATTGGGGCTTTTTGTCCAATGTTATGTAAAGACACAAGTGATGTGTCTGAAAGTTTTTAATCATTTGAGAAGTCAGTAGAAATCAAGCTTACCCACAAAGTTGTTAATCAATTTTTTGAATGAGTGTTTAGACCACCTGTCTTATGCTCAAAGCAACTGATGAGTAAACTTGCTTTCTCTAATTCATTCTTTTATATGATTTTTGTAAGGGCAAATAAATAATCATTTACTGAAGTACTGCAAATATGAAAATCAGCTATCTACATATGAGATGGGAAATGAGTTTATGCTAGTGGGCCAAGAACCTTATCCTGAAGGAGATCAGTGAAGAAACTGCAAAGGATTTGGACAACCAGCAAATGTAATATAAATTGCTTGGACAATAAAGCTAATCCTTGAATTTTGCAGCCATCAAACACAGCGTGCCTACTTCACTCTTGTTCTGTAAATTTTGTATATACCTGTAGGCTGTACAATACTGTACAGAACAGAAGGAAATACAACAGAAGGAAATAAAAACAAATTTCGTAGGGCCAAAACAGGTTACAATGTCACTGCCAGATTACAAATATAAATTGGGTAGAAAAGCCCCATCTTTCTGGCTATCCCCTACACAAGCCAAATCAGTAATGATATGTGTAAATTACTCAAAGTACTTCTTCCTCCATTGAATTTTATTTTAAGAGCAATGCTCAAATAATGGTTAGGATTCTAAGCCAGAATCTAAAAAGCCCAGATTCAAATTGCACACAGTGATGGTGGAAGCGATTGAGTGACTTTAAATCTGTCATTGTCTTTCACCCAACCTCCTCCATCAGGTTGTTGTAGGGATAAAATTGAAAGTGTTAATATTGTGTATGCCACCCTGAGCTACCTGAGTGAAAAACAGGTCACTTTCATCTGTTCTATAAATCTAACAAATATAGAAGCAACAGGTCACTTTCACTTACCCATTGTTCTCCAGGTTTAATAATATACATTAATAGGTTATAGAGTCTGAAAAAATAGCATAATGGATCTGTGGACTACAGGTTAACATAATGCAAGGAAAAAGTGCAACACAGACCAAACTAGTCGATTGGGTGCTTACCTGCTGACTGAGTGTTACAAGAGACTTTGTAAGAGAGCCATATGCTTAGGAGGCACATAAATGTAGCTAAGAAACCAAAGACCTGTTTAAAAAAAAAGCAACAGCAAAGGAGTCATACATAAAAATATCTTACATTAAGAATCCTACAGATTCTAAACAATATTGAGCAGCCTTTGAAATTCCAAAGGACATATCAATTGTGATCAGAGGTTAGGAACAGATACCCAAATAGACATTCACTGCGGGCATTGCAAACACATACCTCTTTGTCCTCCCACTCTCTAATGCTCCAACCAGCAGAAATCTGCTTGCAAATCACTGTTTTCCTACTGGGAGTAATAAATGATTTTAAGTATGGTGGTCGTCACTGGAGAGAGAGAGCTTAGCCCACTACCACCTCTCCAAGACAGATTTTCTTTTTTCTTCCATCTAGAGCATGGCAAAATGCATTTTCAGTATAATTGTAATGAAAACACAGTGATCTACTGCCTTTCAAGAGGGATGGGGGAAGAGAAGAGAGAAATTTCTTTCCATGAATCCACGCCTCTGAAAGCTAATGATTAGTAAGAAATCGAGGGCATGGGAACCTGTAACAGACTGCTCAGCAGCTAGAGCAAAACTAATCCCTGTTGTAAACTTGTTTTTAAAGCATATCCAGCACCAATAATTATTTAGCATGCATGCAGCAAGCTGATTCATTAAACATTAAGTTTAGAGTTCTAACTTATATATTTTATTAATATTGAATGTACCGTACTACTAAACAATATTTGGAGAGATAAAAGAGCAAGCCGCAAATAGTTGTTACCCTGAAATCTTCATGACCTCAGAAGCCCCATGCATTATTGCAGAATCTGGTAACAGAGTGGAATTTTTAAGAATGCCATTATTTAAATTGGCCCAAAATTATAGCCCTTGATGTATAGAATAAGGGCAGCAGTGTGAAAACAATCTATTTGGAATGCTTGTGCAGATTCCATGGAAGTTAATAAAGCTTTCCTCCCCCATAGCACATAATTGGAATAATTGCTTGCTCAGTTATTTAGTTATTAGATATACTGTAAAATAAAATAATAAAAAAGAGAGAGACATGGGTTTTGCTAGTGGAGGATTAGAGCAGTAATGGAAAAAAGCAGTGTTAAAGGCTTGTCTTTGCCAGTGTTTTTTAAGATCCAAAACACTCAAGCCTCAACCAATGCATAGACTTGAATGTGTGGACTGCTCCTCCTTTTAGCATGGTTATGGAAAAAACTTGAAATCTACCTTAAGACCTGACTGCACCAGTTACAATAAAGTTGCTTATATGTAACAAAGAAATGGCAAACATCCTCACCGCTCCAGCTACCAATCCTGCTGAATTGAAGCTTTTTGCAGCTGCCACAATGGATGCAATGAGAAGCAGAATAGTACCTATTAGGTAATGGAGAAACTCCTAAAATGAAATGAAGACCATGTAGTTTAGAAGAAAGGCTACAAAGACCCTGTAGTTTAGAACAGAAACTTATCAAAGGAATGTTTCAGTGTGACTCATCCAAAGCAACCCCAGTGCCAGCTAATGAGTTCATGTATTTTAAACCAAATATTAAAAAGGAAACTTGAAACTATTCACTCATTCTCTAGATAACATTTCCTGGATGAAAGATAAAAAAGACACGGCAGTTACTCCACTGCCCAGTTAAAAAAAATCCTTTATAGAAGCATGTGCCATGGTTCTATCTTTGGATAGTTCTTATTGATCCTCTGCCAATGGCAACTTCAAGAGATCCTTAAAAGTTATGCATTCAGCATGGCTGACTTTTCTGACTATGAAGTTGCCTTATAACTGGTCCACCTAGCTTAGCTTTGCCTATTGACCAGTGATGGTGTGTAACAGTATTTTTATAAGCAGAGAGACATTTGCATCTAAACCAGCAGGACATCCCTCCCTTATCAGTTAAGACAAGCCTCCTCACCAGTTCACACAGGAACCATGAGTAAGAGACTTTCAGCTCTTTATGCCTTAGGAACCTGGGAGATAAATGGAACTGGGGGGAGAGGCAGCAAGAAGTGAAACAATCCAGTTTTCAGATTTCTCTCCTACCCTCTTTCAACAAATCTTGCTTAAAACACGCTGGAAGAATCTTGCTTTCTATAGTGGGGGGTGGGGTGGGGGGCTGAGAACTTGACATCATTCTTTGACCGTCACGGGCAGATGCCTTTCAGGTCTTTCAACCTAGAGATGTCTGGGTCTGAAGCTGAGATATTCTGCATGCTGCACAGTAAGACATAGTGCCCCTTTTATATAGTGACCTTTCACAGCAGTGAGAGATTGTTGTCTCTTGGCTCTTGTCACTGAAGAGACATGGGGTGGGTTTGTTTGCGCAATGGATGCTGCAGAGTGGTAACAGTGGGAAAAAAATTAACTAAAATCAGGAAATACAGGCACCATTACGCATCTATGCAATTGTGTTCAGCAATCTGCGCAAATGATAACCATATCAGAGCAGATTTTGAGCAGCACAGCCAAAGCACATACATCCATTCCCACTACCTTTCTACAAATGCAGGTTGCAGAGATCTTCAACCAGATTCTCCCAAACAGCAGAGATTGATAAAAATTAATTTTAACTTTATAAGCAAAAGAAGCCATTCAGTGGTTCCTTCTTGTATGTTAACGCTTTCTTTAGTTCAGTTATAGTATTTATCATCAGGAGCTGCAACTGCTGAACAGTAACTTCTATTGGAAATGTGGAATGGAAATGTAATCCTTCTGGAAATTGGCAAAGATGATTTTAATTATGGATAGGAACTTACTGCAAGTGGCCAGCTGATGCAAGTCAGCATTCGATAAGCTCTAAAGATGTAGATAATGTAAAAGATGAAAATCATAATTAAGTCACATATGCAGACAATTTCAAAGTAGCTGTATGCACTGTACTCTGTCCACTGTGAAGATCTTATGCAAATGAATCCAATCAGCAACAATAACTGTAAGACAATAGCAAAACAAAACAAAAAAAAAGGTTGTGTGAAGAATGCATGAGAAACCACATTCCAAGAACAATAAAATGTTCAGAATCAACAATTTTGAAAAGCAAAAGAAGAAAGAACAATTCCAGCTGAAAGAAGATTAAAAACATTCAGAATTGGAGGAGAAAAACCATTCAGATATTGCCAAATCAGAATGGATTTTAAAAAGTTTAGAGAATTTATTCTATCTAATGTCTCACTCCGGACTAAAAGAGTGTGCTACAAAAGTAATTTACCAATAGGTTGTACTTATGGGACAACTGGTAGGGTAGAAGTAGTAAGCTAGAAGTAGAGAGATACATAATTAAGCATTCACCATACTGTAATGTAGATCATTGGTGAAAGGAAGGAATGGAAACCGCTTAGGGCAGAACTAAATTTCTGAGAAAAATATTCAATATAGTTTTAAACTCCTGAACAGGCATGAAAATAAGTGGGAAAAAATTCAATAGCACATCAGATAACCTCCAGTGTCTATATAGTTTGATCTCAGGTCTAATCCAGTTTGATCTCATGAAAGAATGGGGGGAAAAGTACACTAACAGGCAACTGAGACAAAAGGGAATAACTGTTCGGTGAACAAAAGGGGAAAAGTTCAAAAACATACAAGTTGCATATCTTAAGGGAAAAAATAAGCCTCTTAGAGAGATTAAAAAGCATACATAGCATAGAAGAGTAGCAAATCATTCCATTTATAGGACCTAACTAAAACCTCAGTGTAGTAAGCAGTTTTCTGAGTTTCCCAGAATGAAAATAACTGAAAATATTTTTGTGAATAAATAATAAAATAAAATAAAAATAAAAAAGCAGAACAGAGTAAAGAGGAATGAAAGGTTGCTGAAGATGGCAAAAACTCAAGTTTGCTGTTTATAAATTTCTTAAAAGAGTAGAGGTGATATTATGTACACTTTAAAATGCATCTCTTTAGCCAAGTTTTTAATTGTTTATTATTTTAGTGACTGATTTTAATTTTGGTTTTGATTTTAATTGTATGTAGAATTGTGTGTATGTCTGTTGTATGCCACCCAGAGTGTTTGTATAAAAGAAAGGCAGGGTCTACTTTTAAAAATAAATAAAAATTAATAAATCTTACCATTCTTTACCTGGGAGAAAGTCTCATTAAACTCAACGAAGTTTACTTCTAAGTAGACCAATAGCGAATTTGTCTACTTAGGTTGTGTAGCGCTTTGGATCTAAAGACAAAAAGGTGCTTCTGAGCTAATGGGGGCCGGCATGTACACGTGCAACTTTTAAATCAAATGAGTCTTATTCCATAATTGCAGGGCAGCTGCTGTTCCTACTGCAGACGGTTGCCACAAATCCTTGAAAAATATTTTCCTTAAGGAGCTGCAGACAAGTATTATGTTAGCACCCCTCTGCCCTCTGAACCCCATGTCTGCCTTTGAACTTGAGGCAATGAAGTAAACTGAAATATGTTAGATCATGCAAGGTATAGAGAGATCAGGACTACTGGAACAAAGCAGCAGTACTTGCTCCTCCTTAAAAAGAGAAAAACAGTGATTATTCAGACCTTTATTACTAGTGCAAACACTGAAATCTGAGAGGAACAACTGCATGTTTTAATGGAACATGCAACACATGAGATAAAATAAATTGGTTAAGAAATTACTTGTTTAACATGGGAAATAATTGTGTTGTTTTAAATATGAAAATGTATTCATGCATTAAAGCTTTCCCCAACCTAACACAATTTAGACATTTTGGGGGCTATAATTTCCAGTATTTCCAGTCTGGGTACTCTTGGAGTTGTGGCCCCAAACACCTCTGAAGTCCCACTTAAGAAGTCTGGTTGGGGGTAACATGAAACATAGCAAATTCAAGGTATTTCTAAATTAGATTAGAGAAATATTTGAAAGCATGATTTTAAAAAGTACTATATAACAAAAACAGAACAACATTTGTAAAAACAGGGCAAGTAACCACAGAGAAAATTTGCAATCTGGCTGCAGAGTAATTAATGCAGGTCTTTCACTGCTCAAAATAAATAATTTTGAGCTAGGGAACATGATCTTCAGGGTGCATGGTGTTGTTCTACCCTAAGGAAATTTAGATGACCAAGATGCAGGAAAGAAAAATTAAAAGATAGAAAAATGTCAACTTTAATTAAGGTGTCTAATGAGGTAGCATGGGAAGTATTTTAAAAACCCTAAGGTCAGTGTAAAATAGATAACATTAAACCAATGTAAGTTCATAAGCAGAGATAAATAATGCCAAAAAATTATTAACAGAGTGGAATACACAATAACCTGAAAGTCAAACTCATCATATATGTCTATATACACAATTTGGTATGTGATCCCATTAAAAGATGGTGTGTTCTATTTTTATATATTGTGTCACAATGGAAATATTTTTGTCCCATTGCTAGAATGTCCAAGGTTACAAAATCTATGAACATTCAGCATTTTATTTTAGTTTTTCATAGATGATACTCCCAATATGTATATGTGTGTGTGTGTTCTGTGTGAGCCCATTAAAAAAACGAAACACAGAAATATACATTGTTTAGGGATGCAGAGCATAGTTATACAATGTACATACAAGCAATATTTAAAAATAAAAGGATACTGCATTTATCTTTAAAAATTGTTGGAAACAAGTACAGAAACAACAGAACCTTGACACCTTTCCACTTAAAATAATGCGTACAGGATCAATGACCTACTAGAGTTACAAGAGACCAGTATCTCTATATTCTATAGAGAAATCTCTTATTTTTAAACATTTTTTTCAGATCCATAGTAATTTAAAAAAAAAAGGTAGAAGTAGCATATAGCTTAGAAATTTACAACACAATCTTACATACATTTGCTCAGAAGTAAGCCTCATTATGAGAGCCAGTTTGTAGTGGTTAAGGTATCAGGCTAGAAACCAGGAGACTGTGAGTTCTAGTCCTGCCTTGGGCACAAAGCCTGCTGGGTGACTTTGGGCCAGTCAC